AATAAATGATTATGTGCGATATTTTTGTGTTGCCTAAAATTTTGAAAAATATATTTCATTCTTGGAATTATTATGTTAAAGATATATTATGATTTGATCGGAAAAAATATATATATATATATATGTATAAATGTAAATTTTATCAAGTATATACACATATATTATTTTGTCAAGTATATACACATATATATATATGATGATTTTGGACGTTAATTTTTTATGATCTCGATAATGCAGTTTGGTAATATAGCTTTGTAACTACATCATACGTAGTATGTATTACAGTAATTTATTTATTTAACTGTTGTTTTATATATATAAATGTTTAAAGGTAATATTATTAAAGTTTGTAAAACATATATTTCAAAATATGTGGGTGTAAATAATGTAAAAATCACTTTTTATTTCATTAGTAAAAGCCTAATGAATTGATCAATATAGGATTGTTAATTGCTCTAGTTTATTAAATCCGAGTAAGATTAATAAAAAAAATGTAGTTTAATGAGAAGGCAAGTAAATTACGTAGGTACAGGTATCATGCAATATAGATGACCTGTAAAACACGTGAGTAGCGTGCAGTGTTGGTTAAAGTGTCAGGAAAACCCTGGAGGCTTTCACGTTTCACGAACAAGTATGTGAGTCTCTTTTACTGGCTGTCCAATAGAAAACAGCATATAAGATATACTGACATCGGTTCATCGAATACATTCCACGTTTATAAAACGTAAAATGTTATTCCCCTATGATTTTTGATTCTTGATTCATCCGAAAAGAGAAAAGTCGCTTCTTTCATAGCATATATGCGCATATAAAATTGTTTCATTTTATCGCTGCCGGATATATCCGTTTATATTAATAATTTTATACGTATAATATTATGACCTATGTACACTTAAAATAGAATTAAAATATAATTGAACGGATAGTTTAATAAACCTATCAGATTTCTTAAATTAATGTCATAGTTATTATACTGAAGAGTATATTATTTCAATTACATCATTCACAAAAAAGAAGAATAATACGAAATATATTAAGTACCTATCTCTCTCTAAATTTCTTCGAGTGAAATCTCACTCTAAAAGAGTGAAAATACTGCCACTATTGAAAAAGAGTAAAAACATTTGCATTTTTGCATAAGAGTAGTAGATTTTCACTCTTTTTTTTGGAGTGAGATTTCTTTCTTTTGAAGTGAAAATCTACCTCTCTTGAAGATCTTATTCAAGAATGCAAAAATTTTCACCCCTTCAATAGTAGTATTTTCATCTTTTTGGAGTGAGATTTCAAGAAATTGAGAGAGTACAATTCTATTTTTCTATTCGTACATTTTTTAGGAGCAAAGCACTGATATATGTATTTATATCAGTGATTTTCAGTTAAATATTCAACAAAAAATTCGTTTCTTGTATAAAGTATAACAATATCCAATTTTCTATTATATATTAATAAATCTAGGATAAGTATACCTAGGGCAAATTTGACGCCGGTCCAGGCTTGCCTCACGTAGTTGATTAACCTCCTGTAGAGAGGCCTTGGTGGTCTCTTGGTAGAAGTCCCCTCCTCACCGCTGTCGTCATCCAGCGTTCCCGGTGGCGGGCCTACGCCCGACAGGGTGCCAGCTTGATTCCTTTTGCCGAGGATATTCACGACCTCCCGCAGCCCAGGCGCAACGCCCTGCAGTCCTGGTGCGTAATTCGCGGGGGCGACGCCGGAACCGAAGAGGTTCGCGCCGCCCCCGCGACCTCTGCCACGTCCACGACTTGCGCGACTCCAAACAGTACTACTGCCTTCGAGAGTTTACGACGTGATCAGATTTCGATATCACGACTTAACAGTCCATATTTTTTACATAAATGAGAAATCGAACAACATCAAGATGATCGGATGTTCCATTTTTATAGGTACACGATATATTAGGTCATTTAAAAAGTATCCGCGGTTTTTTATTCAATTATTGAATGAAAAAATCGCGGATACTTTTTAAATGACCCAATATATTCAGTCATCAAAATGACACGTTTATAAGAATTTTAAATTTCTTAAAATATGTTATTATTCCTTTGTGCAATTTAAAGATCATTTTAAATAAACCTGAATTACTTAAAAAAAAAACAAACAGAACAAATCATAATATGGAATTATTCTTAAGTTACAATTTTCGAGTTCAAAAAATTTATGATATACTTAAATGAAGGCAAATTGTGTTACGATAATAAATAATATAGACATTCTCAAGGATGTCGTTTGTTTTAAAAATAACGCGAATAAATATCACGTGTAGGTAATTAACGAGGACTTTAGAGAATTTTGAACTCTCAAAATATAAAATATTATTTATAATAATAACAAATTTAACAATTACGCAAACAAATATATTAATAGCGATAATATAATCTTTTAATTAAAAATAATAAAATTTATTCAATTAAAAAATGGAAATTGAAGATGTCATTTAAGAAATAATATTATATAAAATGTAAAAAAGAACTATTATCCGATTTGACGTAATACTGCTAAATTTAATTTTAATTAACTTCAGTTAGTATTAAAATATAAAGTTTTATGGTGTTGAATAAAAATAATATTTATAAAATTAAATAAAATTTAAAACATTTTTGTTTCTTCAAAAATTGCAAAATATTATTTTTCACATTTACTTGCGGTATTCGATTTCTATCCTTCAATTGTAATGAAACGCCATAATACCTTGGCGCTTTTTATAGGAGGGGAGCCCCACCACGGGGCCGCAGCCCCCCGCGGATCCTGCGACAGAAGAGCTGATGGTGGCAAGACAGGGAACTCCCCGACCGCCACCCGTTCGACGTTCCAAATCACGACGTCTGCTACCTCCTCCGCCTCCACTGCCACCGCCACCCCCGGCGGACAACACCACGACGGACCCAGAGGTACGTTTGTGTGGCCCTCTTCCTGCGGAGCCCCTTCTTATCGACGAAGGCCCCGCTCGTTTACGTCGCCGGAGTCGCCACAGACTTCCACGAGAAATTCTGCAAGGCATTTCGTAGGGTCGTCACCCTAGTAGCTATCATAAGGCCTAGCTTGCGTATCATTTTTTTTCGTTTATCAATAAAACTTCTACTTCTTTACATACATCAATTACGTTTCTCTTTTTTTTCACAAATAAGTTTATTTCTACTATAATTTTACGTGATATATAGAATTGTTATAATTTGTTATATATAATTTTATATAAATATACACTGTCTCATAAGCACTTTTAGAAAATAATGTATTATACGAATTTTTTCGCTTTAGTGACTCCCAATGTGGTCGATTTCTCAATAGAAGCTGTACATATGAATGTGCGGTGTCAGCGAATTTTCTTGCTTTTTCTGCACTTCCGTCTGCTTCTATACCAGAAGCGGACTTTCCGGTCAGATATATCTGCACTCTCGAAATTTGTGTCAAATGGTCGACAATTTACAAAAATCGTAATTTAGGACGGAAGAAGCTTTCTACGCTTTTACCCACTACAATTTTAATGCATGATCTTTTTTTTTTTACAAAAAAAGCTTCTTGTTTAAAGTAAAAATTTTAAATTTATATGCAATTAGAAGAGAGTTATTGAATATATACCAGTTGCCTAAATCATACTTTATATAATAATATAAGAATATTTTAATTTATATTATTAATATGTTATATTATTATTTTACATTGTTATTATTTAATAATATAAATAATCACTAAATAATATTTAGTGATAAAAATATAAAAATAAATGAGTACACAAAAATTTAACTTGTTATGTTTTGTATGTATAAGCAGCACTTTAAAAATCATATACAACTGATATTAATTTATGATCATTTATATAACTAATAATATAATCATATAATTTTAATTTAATATATCTGAATTTTTATACATTCATAAAAAAGGGGGAGAGGGAGGGATATTATAAAATATTTTATAGTCGTTGTGTACATATTTGTAATTATTAGAAAGATTAAATAAATATTTTTATAAAATCTATCATTTTCTTAAATCGTATTATCACAAGATAAAACTAATAATAAATAATAATAAAACTGATAATAAATGATATAAATACAAATCACAAAAAAATTTTAAATAATTTTCAGTCGAATTTTTCGAATTTTCATAAATTCGATACTTTCAAAATAAATATGATTTAGAAGATAAATCATATTTTATCAACAAATTTTGATTTGGTAAAAAGTTGAACATATAATAATAGTAAATGTAATAGAAGACTCCTCAATATTTAATAAATTAAAGTATAAAATATTTAGGGAAGTAGGGAGACTACGAGATAGTTAATATATAATTGAGGGGATGGGCGGAATAAAGGCATTCTATTTAGGCCCTTTTTCCGGCAATTAGCTTTTTCATGTAATACTGATCGTAATACAGAAATATTGTAACATGTAACTTCTTAAAGGCATTACATTAAATTCATTTAATATTGTACCCATTTGTATATAATAAAAAAATAGCAAGTTATTTTAATTTGTATTAATATCAAGATTTTGTAATTTTATTCCGCCTTTATTCCGCCCATTCCCTCAATTATATATAATAATAATAGATAAAATATCAAGATACAGCTTCCAATATTTGCGTTTAAATCAATGTCAGGTGGAAAATATAATAAAAAAGTTTAAGTGGTACGTATTTGGCAACTCTTCCCCACTAATATTACATTACTTAGCAACTGCCTGATGTACAATTATGGCTTGATGGTTATTGACAGATCTGCCAATATCTTATCAAAATGATATTATAAAGTTCATCAACAAGTACATCCGCACAAGTATATGTATCTAATTATATCAGGTTTTATTAGAGATTTAAATTAAATAAATATGTTTAAAAAAAGATTTTTTCTGAAAATTCTATTAATGCTCACCCTAACACTTCTTCCAACACTTCAAACACGTCGCCTATTTTTTTCAGAAATAAGAGATTCAAACCAATTCTCACGATAGAACATCCGTGAACTAGATTGCGACCCACGATTTATTTGATAGATCGATAAATTTATTCATTGAATATGCTTTCCCCGACTTGCTTTTTATTGCACAAAGTGCAATAAACCTTTTTCGCATTCAGGACTTAGGACGTTGGCGTGAAGCCCTGGACGAGATCATAATGCTTGTTCTCGAAAGACGTAGTTGGTTAGTGTGTTGTGAGTTCGGTTGTGTTAGTATCTGAAACAGGCAAAGAAGAAATACATGCATTAGTTGTGTTTGTGAATAAAATTTGCCGAATAACAACACGCGAGTTGCATAAGAAAAAAACAGAGATAAAAAAAATTTTATTAGTAATTTTAGAATGTAATAAAGTTGATCCTTATTATGTATTAAAAGCACACGCGATGAATTTCTGCTCATAGTGGAAAATGAAGATAATGATAAATTTTATGAGCTAATTATTGAAATTTTTTAAATTAATCTTATTGAAAAATATAAATAGAGTTACTTCTGAAAAAGATTTCTTCAGTAAAGGATGCGCTGTGACTTTCTTCTGTGAAGTTCTTGGTATACATTTGACGCGAAAAAGTATTCGCGTTTTTAGATTTGAATTAGTTTTAAAAATGTATTTTAAAATATGAAAATAATTTTGGAGGAGAAGGGGAGATAAAAGTACAAGCATATGAAAAGATATATATTTTTATTATATCTAAATGGTAGATTTGTTTATTACACTATGTGCCCAATTTCAACTTCTAAAATTTTTCAAAAGTCACAAAAGTTGATTGTGTTGGGAATACGGTTCTTTATTATTTTTTCAAGGAATTTGGCAAAGTTAGATTTCATAAGAATAGGGCGATTTAAAATTGTGAATTTTAAGAGGTACAAAAGCGTGTTTTAAAGTCAAATATAATCACAAATACACACATGCAAAATTTACATGAAAAAAGTTGCATCTATGTTTGCACCACATTCGTTTACGCGCGCGCATATGTGTGTGCGTGTGTAAGTATTTGTGATCAGATTTGGCTTCAGCCATAAAAATCCTGTATTCCTCAAAATTCACAACTTTAAATCGACGCCCCATTCTTATGAGATGTAACTTTGTCAAATTCCTTGAGGAAATGATAGAGGGTCGTGTCCCTGACATAACCAAACCTATGTAATTTTTGAAAATTTTCGTGAACATACCGTGTTATCCTTTTTATAATATATAATATAATTCATAATTTTAGTATAATTCATAATTTTTATCGGATGTGGTAATCACTGTAACTAATTTTCTAACTTACCGCAATGATCTCAAATTGAGGTCAGAAAAGTTAATAAGATTATTTTTTTCTGTATTTAATATGAATTTCATGATGACTGTTTATAAATTCACAGTGGGTTCTAATAGTTTCGATGGAGATCAGAAAATATATAGAATTCGATGTTGGGCCATACCATATATACCACCAATTGCCTCTTTATCTTAACTACGATCTAACGACTGCAGTCCAACAATTAACGAGACCATCAATTTCGAAAATTGACGTCAATGTACTTGTGCACTTTATAACCGTTACAATCCTACCACAAAGTTCACAAACACACTAGTCATTGTGATAAAATGGCTAGTAGATCGCTCGTAAAGCTACTTGTCCCGTTCAGACGAAGTTCTTTGAAATTGCCTCGAAACCGAAGAAGTTTCGAGCTATGTGCTTTGTATGCATATGTGAGCTCTCTTAGCGATCAAGGGTACATATAGATAAAGAGAAAACGGTGAATATTATAATTTTCTAGAGATTTATCGAAATAAAATGACCTTAAACTTTTATCTAAAGATTTATTACTTAGTAAAGGAAATGTGAACGTAAAATGTTATAATGTAAAGAAAACAACATATTTCTTTGTATAAATGAATAAATAATTAAATTTTGCTATGTATTTATGAATAGGAACGTTTCCAATACACCATTCATAAAATTGAAGTTTGGTAGTGCAATCGACTCGAAGTTGATAAAACCGTAATCAATTTCGTGTTATTATCAAGTAGACGGTGGAAACTGCATTCGGTGTTTGCTATAACTCTTTGTGATATCGTGAATGAAAGAGAAAAGTGCAAAATGAGAATAAGCTCGACGGCCTAGGAAAAAGTTCAAGCAGTTTCGTGAGTTTGAAAATTTTCGAAGAGAGAAGAAGCAACTACAAAGAAAAGAAATGTATCAAAGTCATCCCTTATCTAAAAATATAACTTATCGTACGATGGCTCTTTGCAGAAATAGACTTATGTATATCTTTCGGTACATAAAAAAACTGAAATTGATATTTATAACCGAAAGTTTTACGATCCTACCTAGGTCTCTCTTTTTTATTCTTCATGCATTACGGAGAAGAAACTTCTACATAACTTAATAAAATATGGAAACAAATATACTTTTCTGTGATTTTGATTAACAAGGAAAGAGACCCAAGTGTTCTCCTCCGATTTTTATGAACTTTTAATATATATATTAGGTGCGCAACTAAGTTCTCGCTGTTATTTTGATGAAAATGCATGTTTGTAGACAAAACTAAAGGACGTGTATCTTTTTATACGTATCCTATCGCACTTTTAAGGAATGAAACATCCCTTAGAAAAAAAAACATTTTTTTCTTTCAAAATGAATATCATCGAATCTATAAGAGATAGAAAAAAAAATTTGAAAGTTGAATGATTTTATAAAAGTACTTAATAGTTACAATTAAAAAATTTTTTCATTTTTATTTTCTATGAGTAAAAATTTTTTATTGAAAAAAAATTTTTAACTATTATTATAAAGTACTCTTGAAATCATTTAATTTTTATTTCACACATTTGTTTCTATCTCTCATAGTTACAACGATATTCGCTTTGAAAGAAAAAAATCAATTTTTTCTAAAGCGAATATCGTACCTCACCTATGTATCTCACCTCTTAAAAATGCGATAAAACACGTATTAAAGAATATGTGTTATTATTTTTGTCTATAAATAACATCTTCAAAGCTCATAAAAATCAAAATATAACATTGCACAATTTTATGAGTAATTTCAATTATCTCCCTTTCAGATAAAATTAAATCTATAAATTATATATTTATTTATAATATCCTATAAGAAATAAAAAATATTAACTTAATTCATTATACCTAATCTAATTTTAAAGGTATAATATATGCTTATTGCAATGTTTACACAATCTGATTACAATTTCATCGTTCTATTTGAGTAAAGAATTATGCTTCTTTACTAATGTGTCTTAAGTTCCATTAATATACTTATGTCAGAATATGATGAGCAATTACTGCGGTTCTCTGCGGTATTGCGGATAAGAGTACGTGCTTATTTGCTACCTTTGTAACAGGCTCCGTGACCTTTGAAGCTTATATCGAGTTAGTTCAAGACTCGATTGTAGAACAGTGACGTAAGGCAATAGGAAGCTTTTGACATCGTTGAATGGCCCGGCATTACCATGTTCATGTCACGTAATTGTAGGAGTAGTTTGTCTTCTAAAAAAAGAATCATGTAACTTATCAAATCTGTTTATTGATTACAATTTTCCTTTTTTCTCCCTTATAATTTATCTTCAATTTAGCCAAATAGCTTATGCTGGAATTCTAAGGACATAATAAAATATTTAAAAATATGAAATGCTATATGATTGAAATATCATGAAAAATTGATTTATATTATATATAAATGCTTAAATGTTCAAAAATATTTCAAAAAAATAATCAAAAAAATAAAAATAAAATAAAAAAGCTATATATTAATAATAATAAATAAATCAAAATAATAAATCAGATAGAAATTGTCAACTATTATAACACACTGTAGAATCAAAACTAGATAGTAAAATAGATTTTATTTAACAGTCTAACATCTAACTCACTCAAAAATTTTGCAAATAGAGGGACTTTTTTTCTGCACTTTGTCACTATAAACGTATTACTGCTTGTAAGATTGCTTAACGACTACTGTATTAACATCACAATTTCAACATCGCTGAAGATGGCTCGAATGTAGCCGAAACATACGATTTATATGCTAATGTTGTATAAAATACGACATATATATTTTTTGTTAAAATAAAACTCATGAATTACCGCGTATTTACGCTCTCAAGTGCCCGTTTTTTAAATTATATGTTTTGGATTTTATCTATTTATGAATAAATAAGAATTATAAATAAATATTTTAATAATACGATTGATATATTCTCATAAAAGAGAAGTGTCGCATAGTTGAAAATATATCTTGGTTTTGATTATATCGGACTATCTTCATATGCCATATAACGTCAACATTCGTCCGGTGAGCAAACATTCCATCGAGTCTGATCTAAAAAGAAGCTCTTCCACTCATCGTGACGTGGTCGTTGTAGACCAGAGTGCCATCCAAAATCTACTTTTATCTCTCCTGTGGGGCGACCATCCCTTCACATTACTTCGTTTCCTCTAAGTTTTACCTCGCGACTATCTCGATTGGCCATTTTTCTTTTCTTCCAATTTTCGTCCTGGTTTCTCAGATTCTTTCCAATGTGGATCTTACTATGAGCGTTGGGGAGATAAACTAAGAGAGGATATCTAAAAAATGAAGAGAAACTAACTAATCAAAAGACACAAATGGATCAAAATGTAAATTTTATGAAGTAAATGCAATCTCGTGTGACACCGTTAATGGAAAATGTAATATTTAAAGATGCTAGATATATCATGTAATAAATAATTTAAGAAAGTGATTTAAAGACAAATACCTTTTTTATATTTATTTTTTTAATGTATCATAATAAAAATTTTCAATATTTTTACGTGTTAAAATTTTTATATTTATATTCATCTAATTAAACCTCTCTTGCACATATTAATAAATAAATTAGAAATAACTCAAAATATTCAAGTAAATTTATGAAAATAATATGTAGGTAAAATAAAAATATGAGAATATCCACATCGTTGTAAGGGGATTATTTTGTATGCCTACGGATGACAAGCGTAACATAACATTGTCCCGACGTTCTCGTGACGTCAACGCATTATACGGAGATGCGTCGCCGTATCAGATAATCCGAAATAGACTTAGTATCCATAGATCACATCTCTGTACTCTTGTCGCTCCGCACATTGGCCTGTCTGCTCGCATTTCGGCATGCTTTCATGGTCGTCGCGATAAATCAGGCTTTAAACTCCCAGGTCTTATATACGTACGATGAACGAAGTCAACCCTAGTAGCTGGGACCAAACTTGTTCCCTAGCGAAGGCCGAGTCAGGAAGACGACCCGCCACTTCCAACAAATCTTCCGCGATCATAGTGTCTTTTATGGGGTGAGTCTCGGCAATGGATAGAGTAGGAAGAGACGAGCCTATAATTTTCAACAGACCTGTCCTGAAGAACACGGAGATACCGCACGTGTACTATAGATTTGTAGTACGATTTACATCGCAGATACGTCACGTGCATGTAAGTTACGCCATATAGCGTAGCGTTTCACTAAAGCTGGGCGACTTACCGCGCATAAATTAGTCCACCTCGAAACATGAAGCGCAGTTAGGTAGGATACATAGCTCAACGTGGTGCCCGCACAAATCCATCGTCTTTAGTAAATGCCGATCGAGTTTACCCTTAGGAAGAAGCTCGTTTACTCTTCGAGAAACGCGGAATATCGGCCCTCATTATCCTCCGTCTTCGTATTCGCTTATCTTTACGCTTGAATAATTTATTTCGAAATTAATAGGAGTCCTCCCTTCTTTCTAACCAAAATTGCTAATTCTCAGCTAATATTTATTTTAATTATCTTTGTGTTTATAAATGTTTCTGCAATAATTTATTTCGCAAATAATTTATGTTAAAATTAATGAAAACCTCTCTTATCAAAGATAGTTAATTCTTGTCCAGCATTTTTTTTAAAGTCATATAACTTATTTTTTTTTGGCGATATATCATACAAAGTAAATATAGTTATAAGTATAAATAAAAGTATGGCAAGAGATTATTGACACTCGAAGATATAGTTATAAAATCATATATTTGCATACACAATATGCTTCATTCAATAAATATACTATATTGTCAGGGCTGGAAAGTGATGTGTTAAGGTTATACAGCACATAAAAAAATATAAGGTAGTAAGAGATAAATGGTAAGAAAATCAGTCACAGAAGAAAAGATAAGGCAACGCATAAGCAATAACAAATTCAAAATGCTAATTTGCTTACATCCTATTATTTAAATCTTTTTGTATGGCAGAATCTTTACTTTTAACATTGTTATCGTTATCATTAGTTTTTTTTCGATAACACTACTTTTTTCCATCTATAACAACAACGTCATTACATTTTTACAGTAATGGTAAATTCAGCTATTACTTTTATTGGGAGTACAAATTAGTTCGGTTAATTTTCCAAAAGCTGGCTCCGGCTGTTGTGAATGGTTCATAGTGACAACTGATTTTGGCGTTTTCAGAAAGGTTAGACATCTGCTAATAATATTCAGTTTATATCGCTTTGAGTTTCAAAAACCTTGATTTTTACTGTGTTTGAAATGTCGAATTTTGTGTTAACCAAGCAGCATTTGTGGGAGGTTCTAATTTTTTGCTTTAATTGGAAGAAAAGTGTAACTGAAGCCCATCGAATGCTTGTCGAAGTTTATGGTGACACTGCTCCAATTGATAAATCATGTAGGGAATAGTTTCGACGTTTCAAGGATGGAGATTTCAGTGTTGAAGACAAGTCTCTGGACAGTCAAAAAAATTCGAAGACAAAGAATTAGAGGCATTACTCGAAGAAGATCAGAATCAAACGCAAAAGGAGCTTGCAGAATCATTGGGAGTAACTCAACAAGCCGTTTCTGCACGATTGAGAGCCATGGAATAATTGAAAAACAAAGAAATTGGGTGCCTTATGAACTGAAACCGAGAGACGTTGAAAGGCGATTTTTCACTTGCGAACAGCTGATTCAAAGACAACAAAGAAAAGGTTTTTTGCATCGGATTGTGACTGGGGATGAGAAGTGGATATTCTACGACAACCCCAAGAAGAAAAAATACTACGCTAAGCCCGGTCAATCGTCGACCTCAACATCAACACCAAAGCCGAACATTCATGGTTCGAAGATCATGCTCTGTATCTGGTGGGACCCAAAGAGTGTTGTTTACTATGAGTTGCTGAAACCTGGCGATTCCATTACGGGCGATCGGTATCGGCTACAATTGATTCGTTTGAGCCGTGCATTGCGAGAAAAACGGTCGGAATACGAGCAAAGACATGATAAAGTTATTTTTTTTCATGACAACGCTCGGCCTCATGTCGCTAAAGTCGTAAAAAAATATTTGGAAACGTTCAAATGGGATGTTTTACCGCACCCGCCGTATTCTCCGGACATTGCTCCTTCTGATTATTGGTTGTTCCGAAGGATGCAGCACAATTTGGCAAGTCATCGGTCCACTTCTTTCGCAGAAATCAAAAATTGGCTCCAAAATTGGATCGCCTCCAAAGACGAGTCATTTTTTCGAGATGAAATTCGAAAATTGTCTGAGAAATGGGGAAAAGTAGTAGCCAGCGATGGAATATTTTAATTAATCTGTTCATTCATTTTGTTTTGAAATAAATGCATTTTTGAACACAAAAAAATTAATCGAACTAATTTGTACTCCTAATATCATTACCTTATTTCCCTATTATTTTCGTATCTGTTCAATAGATCATATTATTTTTGTGTGTATGTGATTGGATAGAAATATTTTATTTAAATAAAAACATTAAAAAACATTAAAAAATATTTTGTACTTTATATCTTAGACCGCATGTCAATAGTCACAACCAATACTAAAAGTATGTGGTATATGTATATGTAACATAAATCACATATATGTATTCACACACGGTATATTGATATGCGGTAAATATTGGAATGCATTCTTAATAACGACAATAATATTTAAAAAAATTTAATAAAAAGTTTAATAAAAATTTGTAATAAAATTTACGTTTATGAATTATATAAATTCCTAAAGATAAATATATATTAAAAAATAATAACATTAATATATTAAGAATTATATTATAAAATATTTATTAGATGAACTTAATATAAAGAAAAGTTTATATGACTTAGAATTTTAAGAGCTAATATAATATTGATTGTTGTACATTTAATGTTGATTAATAAATAATGTAATTTTGAAATATAATGTATTATAATATTTTTTAATATTTTATTTTAGCATTACAAAAAATAATACAAGTAACGAATTTGTCTCCGCCTGCGTCAGTTATTTTATACATAATAATGATACGTTTTAAAATTAGTATCGAGTAACCAGTTATAAAAAGTAACGAAATAACAATAATTATTTTTGTGAAGTAATGTACCTAACCGTATATATTGCTTCATTAATTATGTGCATGTATATGAAATTTATATGAAACACTTATAATCACTGTCTACACATATTAATTTAATTAAGCACAGCTTGTATCACGTATGCTACAACCAAATAATCTTTGACAACCATAGCCAGCATAATAGATTGAACAGCTCTCCTTCGGGGAATTGCAAATGCACAAAGCTTTGCGAAACAGTTCAAAGCTTCTACACTGTTCTGCTGTCCATCAATGTACACATATGCTCTATTCTCGTTCATTATCCATATTGATATTTAATCTAAAAAAAATAAGTCACATATTTATTTGATAATATTAATGTAAAATTAAATAACAAATTTGAAAATGATTGATCACTTTGATATAATATTTTATATAATCTCATTTACAATTAAAATATATTTTTTAATACTTTAAAGATGTTTACCGAATATTTTTCTACGATAAGGAATTCTTCTAGTTTTAGTTAAATCAAAGTTTTTCTAACTTTTTTACAGTGTCATTACGTAAGATTGAAGCTATAACATATTTTAGAAAAGTACGCATATATTATGAATATTTTAAAAATACTTTTGTACACTTAACAGAGAGCGCGCATATCTTGAGCAGAAAGGTACGATAAAATGCGATGATAAAATGGCGCTGGTTTATGAAAGGTGGGTAAAAGCATCGCAAATGTATGAAGGAAAGAATGAAAGAGAACTACGGTGTATTCCTTCGGTACATAAATTCTCTCACAGGTCAACCGGTGGAGACTACGAAAGGGCGGCGCTATGTGAAAATTTAAGCACTCCCCTCCCCCCCTACCCCGGTTTACACTGTTTACACGTGAACGTGTAAAATTGACCGAGGAATATCTTTATGCGGTACGAGTAAATGAGGAAAGGAAGAAAGAGGAAACTAGTAGCATATTCCTTTTTTAATTTCGTGGCCGAGGAAATTTTGACATGACGGTTTTGCATAATGCTCGCTGGCCTGGTCAAACTATGAATGCTAACTCACTATCGATTTATCGAAAAAATATATTCGGCTTTGTAAAAAATGATAGATGTCTGTGCAATTTCATTAAAATTGATAAAGTAATACTGTAGAAGAATAGTTTAAATAAAACACCATTTTAAGAAAGCGCGCGCGCGCGCGCGCGCGAGAGAGAGAGAGAGAGAGAGAGAGAGAGAGAGAGAGAGAGAGAGAGAAAATGAGAAAAAACTTTTTTTAATAAAATAAAAATTGACTGTTTATGTATATAATAATGTTCTTCATCTGTAAAAATTAATATTAAAAAGTTTTTTCATATTTCAAATTTAAGAAATCTGGATCATTTCATGATCTTTCAATCGTTTGCTGTATGTTTAGTTCTACATGTTTTATTTATAATTCTGATATCTCTATTAACAGCTAGAAAGTCGCTGAGATATTACTTTGCTCTCGAATCAATCCTCTTTTCATGGACCCTTCACATTGTTTTGATCCCGGATAAGGTTACAAAAATAGATTACTGTTATGAGAGTGAGAAGCTTAGAACTTGCTAGCCAATAGATTCATATATTTATTCTTCTCTCTATAACATATTGTTCAATTTTAACATTATCTACATATATCATGCATTTTTCTAGAAAAATAATGAAATGTTCATATAATATATATTGTTCAAAATAATATGCATGTAATAAGTAATACTTTATCAATATTCCAAAAATGTGAAATCTGTAAATATAATATATATAATAAGAAGATAATTAATTAATTAAAATATATTATCAAACATAAATAATAATCTTTAGTGCCAAAATATAAAGCAATTAAAATATATAATTAAATAAGATAAGTAATTTTAAGTCCTACTATTAGTGTACATTATATTAAATAAGTACAATATACAAAGTATATTAAAGTATCTAAATACTGCGCAATATATGCATACGCTGAATTTGCATTAGAGATGTGGAGATGAGCATCGCTATAACGTACGGGTTGAAATTTGCAAGGGTCCTAATTTACGCTTCACTATGTGTAAATTACACAACAAAGGCACAAGCTTACACTCTAATTAGGTCATTATCAAATTGTACGGTGTAGTATAACGTCACGTGAACCAAATCAGATGATGTTCTTCTTGGATTAAAGAGCTGCGGATATTCCAATTTTCAGAGATTCTGAAATAAAGATTTTCAACTTTATCGATCTGACAATGAGTCTTATCGAAAAAATTTTCATCTGCAACTGACGGATATTTCGGCTAACAATCAAAGAGAGAAATTTTGTTAAGCAATGCGAACAATGACAATGCATTTTTTTCGCCATAGAATAATTCTAATTTAATTAAAAAATATATATATATAATCTTTTTTAATTAAATTAGAATTATTCTATGGCGAAAAAAATGCATTGTCATTGTTCGCATTGCTTATATATATTCCATATATATATTCCAAACAAGATATATATGATCGAAATTTTCATTATAATTACATTATTTGGGAAAAATAATATATTATAATAGAGCTAGAAAAATAATCCTAGAAAATTAAATTTTCGAATTTTACTTTATCAATGATATCTATTATATATTGGTTTTACCCAAATATTATAAAAATAATACATTATTTTTCTTGCAAGATAAAATATTGAAACATAACGTGGTTTTTAATATCATAATTAAAATTAATATTAAGCATATATATTTACGCATACGTAAATGATAATTAATGTATAAAATGATTAAAGGTACGTTATATGTCTTATTTTAATTTACTATATGCGTAAACTTGCTTATAATAGAAATAAATAAATTAATAATGAGATAGCAAGCAAAGTCTTCCCCCTACCGCGGTTTCCAGAATTTTCCAGTTCTGTAAACATGATACTAATTTTACAGACATACAGTCGTTGTATTTTTCTCTCATGGTGCTGACAGATCTCGCTGAAGCATAAATAAAAATATAAAAGATGAGAAAATATATTTTATGCAAATAAAATAAAATTATTTGTTTTTTTTTATGTGTTTAAATTAAACACAATAATTTTTCCATAATGTATGGTATATTCTTTTACTTAATTAAAACATAATTTCTTTTTATAAATCATTTTTCTCTTTAAATTAAATAACCACAGCTAAAAGTAATTCATATATAAACATAATATATTATACATATGTACATATTATATAATTATAACAATAAATAAACTTAAATAAGGGTGTTATTAGAATTAAAATTGATTCTTGCGCGAATAATATAAATTTTCATGATAATACAATTTCATAGTGATAATTGAGATTGCTTGTTTACATTATATAACGACTTCCTTTACTCGAAAAGGCTTTATTGGGTTTCGTCAACATAGAAATCATTCTCAGCAGAACTGAGAAAACCAAATTGATTCTACTATAATCTTCTATCAAGAATAATAAACCAAAATGCCTTTCCATGAAAATAATTCTTAATATCCTTTAATAATTAATATTAATTTCTAATTATTTTTTTGCTTATTTGTGTTGATCATTTCTATAGATCGATTTACATTTAGTATTAATAAATTTTTAAATAAGTAAAGAAGAGCACTAAATATGAGGTCAAAATTCTTTTTTTTTAATGCCTGATAATACTTTCTATATAAATTTTAAATACATCTTTATATAAACTGCGTTATATACAATAAACTGTGTTTTATAAACTGCGCGCCAATTGTCGAAGAATCGCAATCATAAACTGAAGTTGAAATAGTAACATAATAAATTAAATTGATCGTCAATTTAATGATGATGTTAATAAGCATTTTAAAACACTGCATAATTAAATTTTTTGATGGCATAACTAAATTTTTTGATGACATTTTAATATCAAATCTTATTATATATACGTATTATTACATTTAATTCTTTTTATAAAATGAAGAAGTTATATTATAATAAAAATACACATTGCATATACAGAAGAATTGATATTTCTTATACATAAAGAAATTCATAAATCTCGTCAAGAATGTCAATGTTTTTGTCATTTATAGAACTTGACGCGAGGATCAAGCATTGTCAACTTGCAGCTGTTCATCCGCAATACCTAAATGCGTAATGTCGCTCGATCTAGTATTCGATGCCAATCTCGGTCTAGCATAACTCAATATTGGCCGGCTCACCGCCATTACGTGGTTCTAGTATTCGAGTCTTCGCCTCGATTATTCTCTAGGCCATTGCAATTTCGATTCTCGCCTCGATCGATCTCCTCTCTAGCAGGAAATACGGTCATCCCGTTAACTACTAGTCACGCTTGTCTGACGCTTCCCAGACATCTCCATTCCACAAATGCGACAAAGATAAGAAAGCAGTTTTTCCTTTAGCAATTTTTACCACCATAATATAACTATAATGCAAAATGTGTAATTACAATTAATTACACAAATATAATTTAATTCGTCCCCTGCATAAATATTATAATATTATATGTAATATTATTTTACACATTTTCCTTCTTTACTAAAATTTAACTAAAATAATGTTAAACACTAACAAATGTTGATAAGAACATATAAGAGTCAAGCGTGGAAATTGATGCGCAAAAACAAATATGAGATTTAATTCGATAAGATTTCAATTACATAGTATTACATACTATAATCATTCTCAAATCTCAGAATCACGATATTAAACATGAATTCATGAATATTTTAGCATTTCTAATTGTAAGATGTTCATGGATTCATGCTTAATATTGCGATTCCGAGATCTGGGGACTACTCAAAAATATAACCGAAATATATATAATTAATTTGGTAGTGTACTATTTTTTCATGCTTGTACATATTAATATATGTAATACTGTGCAATTGAAATCTCATCATATTAATTTTCGTATTTGTTTCTACACTAAAAAACCCGGCTATGGTTGCTACGACTAAAAATCGTCCATCGATACATTTTTAGTTATAAGAATTATAGATTGTGAGAATCGAAAGATTGATACATCTTAACGGTTATAGCTGTAAAAATTCATATTACAGTCAAATAGTTATCACAAGCAAATATATTGATGGGCGAAAATTATTATTATATACATATATTTCCAGTTGTGGTAATCGAAATATTTTTTTTGTGTATGCATCAATTTTCATACTTGACTCTTGTATGCCCTTATCAATTCTATTTATTATTTGTTTAATATTAAAAGTTCTATTATTATGTTTTAAAATAATGTTATTGAGAGATATTGATATCTAATTCTTAAATCTCTATCATTGATAGTCATGATTTTAATTTTTATGATTTTTAATATGTATGCTACATTTTAATTGTTCGTATAAATATTACAGTAAAATAAATATTACAATAAAAAAGAAAAAAACATAGTATAAATAAAGTTTTCTTATTAATTATTAAAATCAAATAATATTGCATGTATAATAATATTGCAACGATTCATATTTTAATAGTATTATTGAAGCATAAAAAATGCATTACCTGAACAGTGGGCAACTGTAAACGAGAAATTACACAAATACGTTCACAGTAAATGTAATTGGTTGAATATATATATATATATATATATATATATATATAAATATAACTAGTATAACTACTCTAGATGATGAATAACAGCGGGAGAGAGAGAGAGACTGCGCTTAACGTTCCAAGAAATTACTACATTTACCAAAGTGTCTAGGAGAGGCAATAAATATGGAATGTAAAGATTTCCAACTGCTGCAATCACCAGTCTAGTTTTATAGAAACTGTACAGCATAATATCTCCATTCTTTTTATTCTTTTTTATAAAACATTGTTATTTTAATAAAATATTTTTTATTTGAAATAAATTTTCGTTAAAGAAAATTAAATAGGTATATGTTAAAAATTATATTTTATTATGTGATAGTATACAAATTGAAAATAACTATAAATAAATACATATAATTGCAAGTTTAATTGGGAAATGTACGTGATAAAAGAGATAATATTTATCATTTAAATTATTTATGATTTATAATGAGGCAAGAATAATACGTTGCGGATGATGGCAATCAATCGGAATATGCTTTCGGCTACACAATATATCAATATAATTCAATAATAATGCAACTGTTATGAAAGTATTGTAATATTCAACGCATTTTAAATATAAATTAAATATGAAAAAGACAAATTATTATCATCGAACTAAATGTTAAATTTACAGTATAAATTAATAATGTTAAATTAATTTTAAATTAATAATGTTAATAATGTTAAATTTACAATCAATGATAAATCAATAAGATGTATCTGAAAATTTGACATTAATAGACTAATAATTTGATGTTATTAATTTTAAGTTAGTAACGTTAACGTTAAAGATTTGATATTATTAATAATGTTAATGTAAATCAATAATGTTAATGTTAATAATGTTAAATTTACTATAAATTAATATAAATTAATAATCCATAGTACATCAGTAATATTGCAGATATTTAAAAATTTGTCATTAGTAGGATAACGACAGACTTGAGACTTAGTCGGCACAAACGACAACAGTAATCAGTTTCACAAATAAATTTTACAAGGAAGGTAGATTACGTATTTAAATGGAAAGTTTAAATAATGTATGTATTGAATTGTGACAAAAGCTTTAGCGAATCCTTTTCATTTTATCGTAGGTTTACAAAGCCATCGCAACAGGTAGAACAGTTTCTAGACACTTACGCAATGTTACCGGATTATATCTGGTTGCAGTTACGAAAGTCAGGCAACTAAGATATCACGGTTCACGGAATAATGGCCCATGAAGCGATAATGGAATTATCACTAGGAAAGATAAGTAGCTATTAATATTCATGGTTATATTTTCAAAAGTTATATTTTCTGTAACTTATTGATTATTACAATTGCGCATTACTAATTAGCAGTGTTGCGATAATAATACTAAAAATACTATAAAAACATATTGTTAATTTATAGTTGTATAAATATTAATACCTTGTAAAAAATTTATATACTATTACAAATATTATTATATTATGTTATATTATAATTTTTTGGATTGAGATATCAGAAAAAATTAAATTTCATCGTGACATTATATTATTACATATCCTTTAGATAATTTCAATTATAGTTAGCATTACAAATTGTAAAAAATTGTATACTCCTATATTACACTAATAACCGTATTCAATTAAATTAAGATCAAAATGACGGGTTAATTGTTTATATATATCCTTTAACGAAGAAATATCTTTTATTATTACTATTACAAACGAGATAGAATATTCATGATATTTAACGAGTTGATCAACAGTATTAACAATTAAAAGATTTAGATATAGAAGCTCATGCGCTAAATTAATTTAATAGATATATCTTGTTGATATTCAATATTATCATTTAAATGATGTTCTTATTGTTCAATTTTAAATTACTGTTTTATTCTAAATTAAACTATTAATACTATATTTCTTTCAAACTTTATAAAGAATAATTTTATAATAACTTACTATCTCTTTTTCTGTAACAACAAAGCTTTTTAATAACTGTAAAATTTATAAAATTTAAAAAATTTAATAAAGTAATTTAAAAAATAAAATTAATAGATATGAATTTATTCTCTCTTTAATGATTGTGTAAAATATTAACAATATGTTGTATTAATCAAAACGTATTTATTTGGAACGCGTATATCCAATATGCATCAAATGATAGATTATTCCTGGGTAAGGAAATTAGTAGCATTGTAATTATACTATCTCTCTGGTTCAAATTGATGATTTAACTTAACAAGGTATTGTTTATCAAAGTTACAAAATAGATATCAATACAGTATTAAATTTAGAGATAGGTTTACTTTTATTTAACTTCGTACATAATTTAGTAAAAGCTTCTACTATTTATAAAATTTCATTTTATTCATTAATTTATTCATTAATTTATAAAAGAAAGATATTATTTTATGCATATCGTTTTCCAAAAATTCTTAAAACTCGATTAATTAAATAAAAAATTTTATTTTCTACTTTTTTTTATTATTAATTTATACAATATTTGTATTATAATATATTCCATTTTTTTTTAATTAACGATTAATCTTATTTTAATAAATCCATTAACAATGCGAAAAGTAGAAACTACGAAATGAGGTTCGGAAGAAAGTCAATATGGTAATCGATCTCTGGAAATTGTTCATTCTTTTCCATTTGTTCATTTCACGTACTTCGATAACGTAGAATTACATTCTTTTGCAAAGGTAATATAGTACCTGCGAGACCACCAACGTCCTTTCGCACAGAAATTTTCGTAGTCATTCAGCCAAATCGATATCGCTTTGCGCAGTTTCATTATAAATCCAATTGCAATTTCGTTGAAATGCAAGTATTGGAAAACTCAATCAGATAGAACTCATTCAAGAAGCAAAAGGATGTTCATCATTAATTATATTATAATAAAAATACATTCACACAAATATCTTTTAAAATAAAGTTATATATATTTTCATATTTAAAAACATATAGGTAATATATACAAAAAAAACTTATTCATATAAACTCAACTATGTTATTGTAGAAGATGACGTTTTAATTACATATGTACATAATTACATATATTATAATATGTATTATAATTTTATATATTATAATTTTACATTTACTTTTAAAGCTGAAATCATGATTTAATATAAATATAATGTTACAAAAAGAATAGTTTATTAAAGATAGTTTAGTAGAATTCTCTCTTTTGAAATAACAATATATATTTATATGCGTAATAAATCTTTTAAGATATTGTGCATACATTTCTTGTAGTATACTTTTTATATAAAATATTCTCTGTATAGTTTATTAATATTTTCTCAAAATATCAAAATTTATTTATACAATACATATAAACATTAAGTAATGTAATATAATATACATTATGTATATTGTATTAAGAAATAAATTCATTAGCATGCATGTTTCTTCGCCGTCGTTATGAAATTTAGTTATAGAAAGTGCATATGCAAATTTATACTAGCGAACATCTTAAAGCCAATGGCAGTTGTGGCTTCTCATGTTATCCAATCTACGGGTCCTGCAGGACGCATTTCTGGAATGCGATTCTAACGATGAATGCAATAAGCACGAGAAAAGTGTTATGTTTGGAAAACAGTGGAAGAATTGGATATGTATTGTTTATTCTTAATATTTCATCTTTTTTACGAACTTCTTGATCAATCTTGATATAATTTTTGATAATAAAAAATTTAATAGAAAATTCAATTCCTATCAAATAATTCTTACATTTTGTATGACTTAATTTGATGATATACAATACATTAAAATTTAATTTTATTATTTCGAATAAAAAAATAATATATAAAATATTAATTAGACAAAAACACATATTATATACGTTCGTATGTTATTACTTTACATAAAATAGTAAAAATAAAAGATTCTGCTCGATACATATATATATAATATATACTTCTTGCATCCTTTTTTCACTTAATTTCATATTTTATGTAAATCTATACGTGATCCGTACTAATAAAACAAGATAGAGTTAACAATAAAATAATTATGTATTGATAATTACAATATCATTAATGCATATTTTGAATTCACAATAAATTATTCAATTCAATAATTTAAAGATTAAATAACTATCAAAAACAAAATTAATTACACGGTATTTAAGAAAATTGAAAACATACATTCTTTAAATGGAATTTTGTGAGAATAATAACATAATTTTTTTAAAAAACATTTTATAAATATAAAACAACTGTAATGCAACTTGCTATACTAATTCATCCTTTATTGCCTTAAAAATTTCTTCGTCTCGTACGCATCAATTTCACATTATTTATTAACTTTTCAGCTAATACTAACAAATGTACATTCACATAGATTTCCTCAAGCACGTTTTAATATAATATTATACTTTAATATAATATTATACAATTGCATAAATGTAATCTATACTCAATTAAATATGTAGAGAAAATTCGTCAACTGCAAAAATCACAGTTCGTAAAGCATAAAGCTTTTGGTTCACTGTCATTTAAAATGGATATAGGTCAAACCAATTGGAAAACCGCCAGCTGTGTGCTTTGCAAAGTTGAGCTCGGTTTGCAAAGTAGACATTCCTTGTTGATGCATTGACAGCCAGGATTTTCCTTGCGCGAAAGACGTGACTGCAATACTTAGTTTCTCATATACACTTCGGATTTCTATAAATACATACATTGGACAGATTTTCATAAATAAAAATGATTTTTAAATTGATATTTATATTAATTTTTAATATCAGCAAAGTACAGATAAATAAAAATACATAATTTTAGATCTTGTACATGATAATAATGTAATGAATATTTTTAGCCTATCCAATTAATGGTAATGAAATATTATTCATGTCGCGAAAGATTTACATTGCCATTGGCTTTATATGAAAGAAAGGAATAGAATCTGAAATTCTATGATAATTACACTTTTTGCATAATAGTCATACATCATCCGTTGGCTGTGTGCCATTTCAGAGCATTTTCGATCAAGAATAATAAGTTGCTGTGTGAAATTAGTTTCTTTATAGACATAACGCAATTTGTATGTCTTCTTTATTATAGATGAGTAGATCATTCCATATTTATTGCATAATATATTACGGATAATTAATGTTTTAATATATAGATATACTATTGAATGAACTAATAATTCCGTGAGATTTTTTACTTATCCATCATATGGGAAAATTTATAAATTAAAAAACAATTTTTAAGAGGTAATAACTTTAGTCAAGAATATATTGATCACTGTTGTGATCGACCATTTGCCATTTTTCAAACAGTTTCATAATTCCTCGCTCAAAGAAATTCCTATTTTTTTTCTATCCAAGACACACTGAGAAAAATTTCCAGAACGAAATCTCGCAAATCACTTCTAACGTTCTTTCGTAGCATTCTTGCTATACACTGCACATATCTTTTTATAAGTTTTGTTGTATTTTTGTCTTTTTTAAAAATAAAAAAGTATAATATATGCTAAAAATGCTTGTTCTGGTTATCCATCATTCAAACATACAAAACACAAAACTAATCTTCACGCTGTTTTTTTAATCCTTATCCTAAGCAAGAGGGATCTCGAAGATCCAAAGAGCATCATTTTTTAACCGTTTTTGTTTTTTCAAATGTTTTGTGGCATTAAGTTTTTGTTATAACAAAATACGACAGAATGGATACTATTATAAAAATAATTTTTTACACATCACAAAAGATATATTAAAGAATATTATACATAGAAGAGATCGGGGAACAAACGTAACAGTGTCATGAAAGTAACAAGTCCCTTGCTGGTTTACACAACATATTAATTCATTTGTATTATATAATAAAAAACTAAGCGCCCCTATCCTCTCTCCCCTCAACTAGTTATCGTAAAAGAATTGCGCCACTGTCATGAAGGAACAGAATTTATATATTTGCATCATTCACGTAAATATTTCCCGTTTTGGATTTTTTATGTTTATGTGTAATTAAAATGTATCAATATAATTATTTGCTGGTGCATTCTTGTGAAATGTGTTTATAAGTTCTTGTAATAGATTTCGACAAGTCTTGCGTAGTATTTAGATTATAATGCTTTTATGTCAAAAAAATGTGTCTAGATACGAAAGTAACACTTTGTAGACGAAAGTAACATGTTAAAGGAAAAGGTAAGTGCAAAGAAACAATGAAAAGACAGAGAAAGATAAATAAAATAGAAAGCGATAACTTTTTAAACAAAAACGACTGGTTATGCTTGGT